GACCAGGACCTGAGCCGAAACCAAGAGCCGGACGCCCAACCGACTGAGCCACCCGGGCGCCCCTCAAGAAGGTAGTGCGATCAACCCAGACCAGTCCCAAGGTGGCCCAGATGTCAGAATCAGAAGACAGGGATTTTAACATGTCGCAATGAGGCCCGTTACTTACAGGGAAAAAGTACTTATGGTGAATGAAAGGGTAGCACTCTAAGCTGGAAAAACAGAAACTCTGAAGAAAGCACAAAGTAAAATTTCCAGAATTAAAAATACAACATCCGAAATAAACCGCTGGGCGTGCCAACCGTAAGGATGGAGAAGCCAGGGGGGAAGCGTGGCTTGAATGTGAGAACAGAGCAGCAGGAACCAGCGAACGCAAAGAAGACAGAGGAAACGGGTATAAAAGCAGGAACCGTCTCTGAGACCCGCAGCATCACACAAAGTGTCTGACATATGAATAACTGTCACTCCAGCAGCCCAGGGACAGGAGGGAAGAAACACCTCATTTCACCAGACGCTCTGAACGTGAAGATTCAAGAGGATCTATGAACCCTAACTAGATAAATAGGAAGAAAACCATGTCCAGGCGTCTGACACCCAAATACTACAAACCAAAGAGAAAATCTCGAAAGGACACAGAGAAAAGTGGCGCATTGCATTCAAGGGACAATGAATCAAATGGCTATCCACTTCTGAGGAGGGGGAAAAAAAAAATTCAAGACCAGAATTCAGTGGAAAGCTCTTTCAAGCACTGAAAGAGAAACCGAAATCTTACCAACCCAGGATTCTCTGACCAGAAAAAAAACAGCTCTTAGAATGAAGGCAAAATAAAAATGCAGGAGGGTCTAGCCGGTATTCTTTCACAAAAACGCCCTCCTACTGAACTAAAATGGCTCAGTTTAGAGGCTTTATTTTTTGAACATCCGAAAGGAAAAATGACACAGACCCAAGCCACACTGAGCCTACCTATCCCTGAGTGAGTTAAGCACTAGAAATAGAAAGGAAATGTAAGTAGGGAATAGGAAATTAAATTCATCAAAAAGAACTTCAAACACTTGGATTATCATTAGCTGGAAACCCTGGGGGTTTCGGAGGTGTCAGGTGGGCCCGCCCCCTGTCCCCACACCCGGAGGGCAGGGAGAGAGGGTCCACGCCAGGCTTGTGGTGGGGCCACCAGATTGCAGATCTCCACACCCTCCTGCCACAATCCCACAGGTTTACAGGAGCCTAAACAAGGCGGGGTCACCTGTGCCACCTGGACGGTCTCAAGGACACCTCGCTCTCTCGAGGCTGAGACCTCGGAACCACCTGTGGGAACGGTGGGCACATTCGGAGGACCCGGCAGGGAGTCTGGCTCCAGGGTCAACCTGAGGTCCCGTCCTGTCGCTGACCTCCCGCAACAGTTATAAACATGCCTCTCGTGAAACAGTCGAGATGAGAGCTTTAAATACCACACTGGGTCTCGTTTATCAGTAAACGAGTGTTCTAAATACGAGTTTATTTTCCTCAAAATAGGCCTGACCTTAAAATTTTAACTCACCCTGTATCAGCAGGAATAGCTTTTATGTCCCATCACTTGTACGTTTCAAAAGGCAACGAAGAAAAGTTTAAGCGCCGGTGAAGGTAATAAGCTACAACTGTGGAAAAGATTTAATGACGATCTTTTTTTAAGAAGACAACAAATTAAAGAATAATTCTGGAATACGTGAACTACGGCATATCGAAGTTTAAACTGTCCGTTCTGCGACACTGAGTAACCAATGCCTTTACCAGGGAAGACTTTAGTGTCTTTGAGAATAAGAAACGCAAGCATTTTATGTAAATAACAAAACCGTGGCTCTTTTTATAGAGGTTATATTGGATTTTGATAAATCTTTGTACAATGGTACATAAGTTTTCAAAACCAAAATTTTAAACGTTCATATTGTTTAGTAATGTTATCACAAAATATACCCATTAAGCACTCAAAAATAAAAAAAACACCTCATGATACATCATGACTATAGAAGACTTAAGTGGAAAATATAGCAAAAATACGAGTCATTCCTTCTAATTCCGAGTTAATCATGCTTAATAGTTTGGTATATTTCCTGACTATCTTTTCAGATATTTCTATGTAATTCAGTATCATAAAATGTATACCATTTTGTATCTAGGAAGAAAGAAGAAAACACTTCATAAATTTCCAGAAAGTGTCACCCTCCAGCAAGCCCCTGGGGACACAGAGGCCGCCACCATGGAAACACTCAATGTGGGCTGCTCGACCAGCCATTCGACATGGTCACGTCTCTCAAGTCTACAGAACAGCCCAAGTTGTTGGCCAGTGCTTGCTTGACCAGTATTTGGTGAATACCAGTCACGGTGCCCAACACCAGACCCACATGGCAGGTACAAGTGCATAATCCCACAGGGACATTTTAATTCCCCAGCCCCGTGTGACCATGGCTCCTGGAGCGGTGTGCTCAGGAGGTAACTGTCGTGGTTACCGCTGTGATCCTTAGCAGCCATGAGTCACTGGTTACTGGGGGGGGGGGGGGGGGGGGGGGGGGGCCGCCCAGGAGGCATCCCCCCGACATAATCAGGAACAAGGAAACAGAAGCGAAGGCTAAACCCAGCCACTGAGCAGGGACCCTACAAGACAAAGACGCCAAATGCTTCCCAAGACAAAGACCACAAATGCTTCCCAAGAACAAACCATAACAATGTGTCCAATCGGAATAGCTGGGACTGAGGCAAGGAGCGAATCAACACAAAAGTGAGTTCTGCGGAGAGGGTGAGGCCCTTCTTCCCGGAAAGCCTCCCACATGGGACCCTCAGGACAGCAGGTAAAATGGAAACAAGCATATTTCAAACTTCTCATAAAACGCACTGATATTATCCAGTTTTGCATTTAGGCAGAAACCACGGCAGCCTAAGTCCCACGTGACCCGTCTTACTTTCTGGTTGACTGTCGCCCCCCTGCTCTGTGCGTGTGCCTCGTTCACTCCACACTCACTCGCTCGTCACCCGGTTAATTCTGTCTCCAGCGCTGCCCCATCACTGCAGCAACCCTCGTCCACAACCACACACCATACACCTGCATACTTCTCGGGCAAATGACAACTTCAGTGGATTCTCCTTTGAGGAAGGGACTCGGAAGGGAATTGGAATTTTTTTCCTCCCGGCAGATGGACAGTAGGCCATGGGGACCACCAGAAAGGTCAAAGCACGAGGAGCAGGTATGGCAATGGCTTCACGCCAGAGGGTGAAGGCAATCTCGAAATCTCCATTCGGCGTTCTCAGTTCTCAGAACTTAATCGGAGTTGACCCAGTTTGTTAAGTGAGCGGCTGACAATGACTGTTCACTGAATCAGCGGAACTCAACGGACCCGCTAGGTGCTCCCTTGTGACGAACAGGTCTACTACATCCTGAATGGTTACCCACTTCCCAGTGTTGGACACTTCCCAGAACAATTTTATTGGTGTCAGTACCTTGCAGTCCAATTCTGCCAAGAAGCCACTTTCACACTGGAACCAAAGGCATCTTTTAAAAGAAATTACCGAATGATCTTCCAAACTCCACAGATGTCTCTACCACATACTCACCGGTGCGAGAAACTTGATGATTTTTCATTTACAAGCTTCTAATATCAGCTACTACGTATTAAAGAGACATTTCCTATTGATATTAAATAAAGTAAATGTGAAAAGTGTAACTGCTCGAATCATCATTAATGAGCATGGAGATCAGAGGTATGGCCCGCTGATTGAAATACTGCACCCAGATCTGCCTGGAGTACAAAACGCTGGCTATCGCTCGATTGATGGAAAGGCATTCGGTCTCACTCCTCATCGTGCATAACTCAACAGACCAGGGGTTCCTTCATCCACCAAATGAACCCAACTCCTCACATGTGCAGTTTCCAACAAATACCACCGTCTTCTACTAACGTGCTGCCCAAACAGGTGTAACAAACAGGAGACAAAAGACCAGAGCACAGTAAGGAATCTTCCTTGCACACTAACTGCGACCTGAGGTGAGCCTCCGGCGAGTACGAGAAGAGTCGCGCTGGCCGTGGCCACGCAGGGGATGTGCCGCACACACAGGGTGGAGCAGGGGGCCTCTGTGGCCGTCTGTCTCTCCGCGCGGGCAAGCACACCCTTCCCACGCCTGGTCCCTGCACACTCTGCGCGACGAGGGAGCCTCTGCAGCAATTTCTCACGGCTGCTTCTTCTCCCTTCTCCGAACGCCAGGTGATTTCCTGGAAATCTTTCCAGGCACGCGTGGCCCATTAAAGTTAATTAAGCACGTGTCCGTGACACCTAGGAGAGCGCGCGCCCCGCGGAGCCCAAAGCGCCGCCCGGAAGCGCTCTGCCCAAAGGTCACACGCTGACCCCCGAGGCCCTGCCTCCCACCGCTGACCTTCCCTGACCCCCGGAAAACTCTGCGATCTGGGGGGGGGGGGGGAATCTGCATGTGCCCGCGAGCCGCCGCACCCGGAGCCAGCGCCCCAGGCTCTCCATGCCCTGGGAAGCCCGGGCAGGTGCGCCGGCCCCACTGTGGGCTCCGCTCCGGGACGCGCCACCTGTTCTCGCAATCCCCGCCCCCGGCGGCCCCCTAGACGCCAGGACCCCGCCCCGCGGCCGGGATGCGGAGGGACCCCGAGGCCCGGGATCCGCAAGCCCGCGGGGGTCCGCTCGTCCGGCCTCCCCCCGCGCCCCGCCCGAGCGCCCCCCTTCGCGGTCCCTTACCTTGTGGCCTTTCCCCGGGGGACACCTGACGTTATTGGAGGCTCCCGCCGTTTGATTCATGTCCGGAGCAAGTTGGGGGCCCGCCGCTCTACCTTGCAAACTTCCCGGGCGCAGGAGGGCGGCGCGGAGCGCGTCTCCGGGAGCCGAGGGGGTCCTGCCCTCCAGCCGCGTCGGAGGCGGGCGGCGAGTCGGCGGGCCGCAGGTGTCCGCGGGGCTGCACGCCGCACGGGAGAAGCCGCTGCCGGGACCCGGGAGGGAGCGAGGCCGGCGGCTGCGGGGACGCTCCGCGCGGCGCTGCCTTCCCGGGCGGCGGTCCGCGGCTCAGGACCGGGAGGCCGCGCGGACCCACGGGCGCTCCGAGGACGGGCGCGGAGGTACGTGTCCGGCGGGTGGGACCGCGGGAGCGTGGCCGCCG